GTCTTCAAAGCTTCATCTTTTTCATACTGGCCAGACAAAATACATTTGTATATGAGCCCCTTACAAACGTTTGGATAAGCAGGATGTGAATGCAGCACGGCGAACAAGGTTTAAAACCTGTTCATTCATCCAGATGTGTTCAGCCTCCTCAGATCACACAGCTTTCCGTGCCCAAAAAATACCCAGGAGAAAGCAGCTGTGCCTGGGTCCCCGACGCCTGAACAACTCTGCCCAGGGCCAAGAGCAGCAGGGAAAGGCCAGAGGATCCAGCCAAGGAACCTGAACACAACCCACTGGCCACCGGCCAAGAGCCTTTCAAATATCTGCAGTCTCTAAAGAAGTGTTTTTAGAAGAATGATCATTCTCACATTCAGCCATGAGAGCTTTCAGGTTTGGATCGGTGTCCAGACAGGTCTCCTCCTTTATCCTGCTTCTCTGAGGCTTTTGTTTTCAGACCTATCCGTAGCAATCACGTATTTCAAACATTTCTACAAGCATGCAGTTGACTGACAGTATTTCCCACGATCAGTAAAACAGGAACGGGATTATAATACACAAGATAGCATCCCAGAGTTGAGCAAAAAATCAGGAGTCCTTATGAGTGAACTCTTCTTATTGAGAAACCAGAGCAAAAGTGGAAACATTCGTCCCAGAAATGTACATATTACAGATTTTAGACCACTAAAACTGAGTGTTCTGTGGGTTGGTTTTTTGTTGTTTGTTGGTTTTGGGGTTTTTTTGTTGTTTTTTTTTGTTTTTTTTTAATGTAGAAGGAAAACAAAGAAAGGAATTCTGGAAAATGAGAACCATAAAACAGCTCAAGTTGGAAGGGACCTGGAAGGATCATCTGGTCCAACCTCTCATGGGAAAGGGAGACAACAAAGTGAGATCACTCAGCACCTTGTCCAGTCGCATCTTGAAAGCCTCCAGCAATGGGGACTCTACCACATCCCTGGGGAGGTTGTTCCAGTGAACGATTGTTCTCACTGTGAAAAATGTGTTTCTTACATTGAGATGAAACCTCTCCCAGTGCACTTTGTACCCATGCCCCTTTTCTTCTCCAGGTGAAGACAGACCCTCCATCCTCTTTGTAGCCACTCTTTAAGGACTAGAAAACCATGATGAGCTTCCACCTGAGCGTTATCCAGGGAGAAGAGACATGAGTCCTTCAGCCTTTCCTCACGGAGCAGGTTCTCCAGCCCTTTGACCATCTCCTTTGGACCCTCTCCAGTCTGTCTGTGTCCTTCTTGACTTGTGGGGACCACAACTGGACAGAGCACCCCAGGGGTGGCCTGAAAAGCACCAGAAAGAGCGGGATGATCCCATCTCTCTCTGCTAGTAACGCCCCTGGGGATGCAACCCAGGACCCAATTTGCCTTCACCACTGACTCGCATACAGCTTACTGTCCACCAGGACCCCCAGGTCCCTCTCAGCAAGACTGATCCCCAAGCCACACAGATCCCAGCCTGTACTGAGCTCTTGGGATGTCATCCCGGGTGTGGGAATTAGCATTTTGTCTTTGTTAAACCTCATGCTGCTCTTGCTTGCCCATTCTTCCAGCCTGTCCAGGTCTCTCTGTAAGGTTATCGTATTAATTAAGGTATCACATGTACACTGCTTTTCAAATGGCTTGCAGCTTGCTCCACCACATGACACAAAGGGATTCAAGAAAAGTGTGGGCAGCAGGGCCAGGGAGGGGATTTTCCCCCTCTGCTCCGCTCTGGGGAGACCCCCCTGCAGTGCTGGGGCCAGCTCGGGGGCCCCCAACAGCAGAAGGACACGGAGCTGCTCGAGCGGGGCCAGAGGAGGCCACGGAGATGCTGGGGGGGCTGGAGCAGCTCCCCTGGGGGGCCGGGCTGAGAGAGTTGGGGGGGTTCAGCCTGGAGAAGAGAAGGCTCCGGGGAGCCCTTCGAGCGGCCTCCCAGGGCTTAAAGGGGGGACAGGAGAGGTGGGGGGGGGGGGACTCTGGATCAAGGGGTGGGGGTAGGATGAGTGGTGACGGTTTTAAACTGAAAAAACGGGAGATTTAGATGAGATGTAAGGCAGAAATTGTTCCCTGTGCGGGGGGTGAGGTGCTGGCCCAGGGTACCCAGAGAAGCTGTGGCTGCCCCCTCCCTGAAAGGGTTCAAGGCCAGGTTGGACGGGGCTGGGAGTACCCTGGGCTGGGGGAAGGGGTCCCTGCTCGTGGCAGGGAGTTGGGACTAGATGATCTTCAAGGTCCCTTCCAACCCAAACCATTCCATGATTCTATGATATTTGGGTTTTCTGTTGTATTTTTTTTAATTACGTATTAGAAACTCTGAACCTCTCCATACAAAGAAACCTTACTGTGACTGGTACACTGGGAAAATTATAGCTCAAGACAAGAGCATAAATGCTGAGCATGGGAGACACAAAGATAGATTTAGGTCTCCAGATTGTTTCTATCCACTTAACCCCCAGAGTCTGATGAAAACACTGAAAAAATTTAAATGTGGACAGGAAGATTTCCACTGAGAAGAACAAACTACACACCACTTATATCTGACATTTTTGCTCTTTCTAAGGCTTACAAATGCCTAAAAATAGCTCCTTCCTTTCCCTTCCAACATATAATTTTAGATGTTTAAAGAGTCTTTACTTACGAGGCAGCAAAAACACAAATTATCCTTTTTTTTTTTTTTTTTGAGCTGTTAAGCCATCAAGGAGACTCTTTGTAGAGGCTGCTTGAGAAATGCCCCTATTGAGAAACCCTTGATAGAGATACTCCACTTGAGAAAGCAAACAGAGCAGCAAAACCTTGGCACCAGCTCCTGTTAGCTGCCTGCTCACCTTTCATAACCATTTCCCCATGCAAATGAAATTCTCCAGAGTGAAAAAGGTGCCAAAAGTTTAAAATCTTTTCTACAAGTAGGTGGAAAAGTAGAACATGAGAAGAGCAGCACATAAATCAACACATATGCTCTCATGTTTAACCATGAGATAGCCCAGATCTACTTCAAACGACACACGGCTTAGCAGGAGCAAAAGAGTTCTGCAGTGTGGGATGGAGCGAACACATCCAACACCAAAGCATGCTACGAGCTCTTTGCATGCTTTCATGACAGTAATTACTTATAAAAACAAGACTAGGAGATAGCATGCTTTGTGGAAAGAGTCTAGAGGATGGAACAGTGCAGGAAATGAAGGAATGCCTCCTGGAAACTCTGAAAGAGAACTGGGCGGTAAGAAGACAAACCTGGTTGAAGGGAATGGAAGGAGGGGAAAAAAATATTCCTCTGTCTCAACGGTTATGTAAGGGCTGCTGCTGGAGCTCTATAAATAGGACCTTAACAGGTGTCAAATGGAGAAAACTCCAGCAATCGACTCAAACAGGATTTTCCCATCAGGTAGTTTTCAGCAAGATCGACAGTCAGCTTCAGGTTTGTTAAGGCTGGAATTAAGTGCTAAGGCTGAGCTGAATGAGGGTAGTTTGTGCCCCTGCACCTGGCCCTATGCAGGTGGTGGAGGGCAGGATTCCACGTCAGAACATAATCTGTAGCCAAAAGTGGGATCATTACAAGCTCATCAGGAGGATGCGCTACTGGTTCGCTCAAGCCAATGATTAAAATTCAGGAATGTGAAGATAATCAGCTCTTGTGTTACCTAAAAAGGTCCTTATCACAGAAGAAAGGAAACACATTTGAGAATTTGCCCAAAAATAGAAGGTGTGGAGCCACTTAGCAAATTCACAGAGGTCTTGCACAAGGCTCAAAAACATCCTTTTGCTGCAGATCTGGATCGTGGCAGGTTTCACAGGGATGAAAACACCGACCCTGGTCTGAAAGCCTGTTCCCAGCCGCTCCTGGTGCTCCAGACATGCCAAACACAGGCTCCTACCCCCGAGGCAGCAAGAAGCTTCACACTGCCCACTGAGATCTAAGTGGCGGGGCCAGGGACAGCAAAAGGATGTCCTGGGCTTGGGGTACTCACCTCCTGGGTGGCAGCACCCCAGCACCACGTGGCTCTTGAGGGTAGGAGGTGCTATGAAGATAAGGAGGGGGGTGGGGGGAATACCTCAAACCAACTGGGAACCACAGGGTGCTCCATGTCCCTCCCAGTATCGCAGAACTGTTGGGGTGGGGACGATCTCCCCAATCCTGCCATTGTGGGTTAATCCCAGTTTCCTCCCACTGAGTTCCTGGGGCTGTTGGGGTGGGGGTTGACCCACACATCCAGAGACTACAGGGTAACCCCCCTACATACCAACACTGCTAGGCGGAGGGTGGAAAAGCGGTAGAGGCACCATTCCCAGTGCACAGGACTAGGATGATGTCTCATCCAAGGGCTCTCTGGTAGCCCTGGACCCTTCCATCCCATGAAGGCCTCCCCCAGAGCTTTGCCCCCCCCAAAAAAAACCCAATACGTTGAGATTTGCGGGGGGGGGGGGGGGGATGGCACTATGGGTTAGCCTAGGCTCATATAGGATCACAGAGTCACTGAGATGGGGCTGACCTCCACCAGGGATTGTGAGGTACCCTGCCCACTCCCTCCCCATACCCCCCGTGTCCATGGGGATGGGGAGGAACTACCCGTGTGAGGCAACCAAGCGTCCCCCAAAGCGCAAGAGACCGCCAGGACAGGCATGGAAGAACCAGAAACCACCACTCCCCCCAGGGTTATAGGAGGCAGAGGTGACTCTCCCCTTCCCCCCTCCGAGACTGTAGATTCACTTCAACACCCTAAGACCGTTTGGAAAGGGGTGACCGCCCCCATCCGCGACTGTGGGTCCCCAGGACGGGAATATCCCCACATCACTCCAGGGCCTTCGGGACAGGGTGACACCCCCCCCATCCTCAATCCCGGGTTCATGAGGCACCCCAGCTCCCCCTCAAAACGTCCCAGAGCCCACACACACGCGCAAATGCGGGATATCCGTCCCCTCAGCACCTTGGGAAAGGGGGTCCCCCGGTCCCCGACACCTCAGGGACGGGGGGGGGGGGGTGTCACCTCCCCTCCCCCGGCCCTAGCCGCCACTCACCCGGCCAGAGCGGCCTGACCGGCAGCTGCACGAAACGGTTGAGGAGGCCGCCGCCGGCATCACCCGCCGCGCCGGCCGAGCCCTCCCTGACGCCCTCCCGGGCACCGTCCGCCGCCGACATGGCCTCGCTCGCTCCTCCTCAGGGCTGAGCTTCCCCCCCCCAACCCCGGGCAGCTCCTCTCCCCAGCCACCGACCAACCAGCGGCGAGCTTCTTGCAGCCACGGCCTATGAAACGCGAGCTTCTTGGCAGGTAGGGGAAGGCGGCGGCGAGGAGCGTTGTGGCGGTGGTGAGGGTGGAGCAATCGATCGCCAGCGCCTGCGCGTCAACCGCGGCGGCAGGATGGAGCAATCGAGCGCCGAAAGCGGGAGTTGGGGGTTGGGGGGGTGTGTACAGTCCCGGGACGTGGGGGGCCCGCAGTGGAGGCGGCAGCGCATCGCTACCCCTCCGTGGGGGCGAAGGAGGCTGTGCGGGAGTTGCGTGGAGTGATGTCCAGCCCCACGGCGGGGCCGGAACGGTCCTGCGCGGGCCGCGTTTCCCGCCCCCCCCCCTCCCCCGGGCCGTGACGGGGTGAGGGACCAAGATGGCGGCGCCCAGTGCCGGGGCGGCTGGGGGTGGCCGGGGAAAGCCGCCCGCCGTCACCCCCCAGCAGATCCGCGACCTCATCGACGGGGGGATCGCCCCTGAGGGCGCCGGCCCCGACGGGTGAGGGGGGAACGAGCGGGGTCTCGCTGGCACCGGGCCTGACGGAGACCGGGGGGGATGGCGGCCCGGCCGTGTGGCACCGGCGGGGTGGGAGGGGAGGATGGGGAGCCCTCGAACTTCTTGGGGAGATCTCTGAGCGGTCCTGGGAGACGATGAGAATTGAGGGGTGGTGTGTGGGGGTGCTGGAGAGCACTGGTAAGTGTTAGGGATTATTCTGGAGGAGGGATTCTGGGAAAAGAGGGCTCTGGGGTGTGCTGGGAGGGAGTGGGAAGCACGGAGGGGGGGGTACTGGAAAGTTGGGGGCGCTGGGAGGCGCCTCTGGTGGCACTAGGGGTCACTGGGAGGCTGTACTGGTGGGGCTAGGTGGCACTGGGAATACTGGTGTGTCTAGGAAACATTGGGAGTACTGGAGGGACAAAGTGGCACTGGCATGCAGTACTGGAGGGATAAAGGGGCACTGAGAGGCAGTACTGGTGGCACTGAGAGTACTGGAGGGACTGAGGCGTGGGGAGGCAATAGCTGAAATTGCGAGACACTGGGAGGCAGGGGTGGACAGCAGGAGGCACTGGTGTGCACGGGGAGGCAGCACTGGCGGGCACTGGGAGGGCAGGGGCAGGTAAGTGGCCTGTAGAGTTCTGGCGTCCCCACAGCCTGAGCGAGCTGAACTGGCCACGTACTGGGCTTCTGACCCAAGAAGTGTGTGGTCACACCCTGGGCGGGTTGGTCACCAAGAGTCACAGGAGTTACTGGTGGGCACTGGGAAGTCTGGAAGGCACTGGGTGGCTGAGCTTTTGGGGTACGTCACTAAAGCCAAGCAACTGGGGTCACCCTCAGAAGCATACCTCATCCTCGACCCAACCATTCCTGAATTTTTTGGCCTGGGGAGAGGCCAAAGGGCAGCGCTTGCGACGGGGCCAGCGTTCCAGTGTTGTGGCCGCAGGGGCCCACGTTCCAGATGTGGATGTCAGATGCTCGGGAACATCCCTGGCTTCAGATACATGCCATGATTGTCGATCTGCCTTCACCCAGCTCGGAGAACAAGTTCCTGTCTCCTACTTGTCACATCCGATCCACACCTGCTGCTGGTGTCCGTCATCATACAATGTTTCATGTGCACCTTTTGTTGTTGTGTTATTTTTTTTTTTAATTGGTGTATTAGGAAAGTAATTAAAAGTTGGAGCTGAGGAGCTCTGGAGAAAGGGATCTTGTCTTGAAGGACAAGAGGGTAGAAAGTAGTCTGTGCATTGTTTATTAATGACATCTCTCCAGGATAGCGCAGTTGCTTTGCTTGCTGACTTGCTGTTCCTTACAGGAAGGACATATCCGACTCGTCAGAATCGGCTAATGGATCTTCTCAAATGGATGCTCTCTCCTTGGAGTCTGCCAGCAAGGAAGCCTATTTCAGCAGAGTAGAAACATTCACCATATCCTTTCTGATGCTGAGCTTCCAGCCATCCCCCTCCCTGCTTTGCTATCACCCTCCCCATGGCTTCCCCACAGGCTTCATCTTCTCAAAAGCTTTTCTTCTTTGGTCAAGTAAACCCTGGTCAAGCCCTAATTTATTGGGTTTTATCCTTAACGTGAGCACCCGCTGAAGTGGGCGGGCAAACCTCACGAGCTGTCTCCCCTGGTTTGCGCCAAGTATGGCTGGACCAACGTGGAGTGTGATATGCTGAAATGCTCCAGCTGCCAGGCCTTCCTCTGCGTGAGCCTGCAGCTCACATTTGACTTCAACAAGTGTATGTATGCCTGCGGCCAGCAGGTGCAGGGAGTGGGCTGTAGGGTTTGGGGGGGTGTGTGCCTCAGCTTGTGTCTAAATTACTTCTGTAGTCTTGTCCTGGGAGGTTCCGGGTGTTTGATGTTTCTAAAAATAAAGCGCAAGTCAAATAAATATCCTTTAGTTTGGGAGAACGTTGTAAAACCTCCTGCTTCTGTTCTCAGAGATGGGTTAGAATGGAATAGCTCCAATTGGAAGGGATCTTTGACAATCATCTAGTCCTACTGCTTAACCACTTCAGGGCTGACTAAACCTTAAATCACATTAAGGGCATTGTCCAAATGCCTCTTAAACACTGCCTGGCATAGGGCATCGACTGCCTTTCTAAGAAATCTGTTCCAATGTGTGACCGCTCTTGGTAAAGAAATGCTTCCTAATATCAAGTCTGAACCTCCCCTGATGCGTCTTTGAGCTATTTCCAGGGAGAAGAGATCAGCGCCTCCCTCTCCACTTCCCTTCCTCAGGAAGCTGTAGAGAGCAATGTGGTCACCCCTCATCTCCGAACTGGACAAACCCAGAGTCCTGGGCTGCTCCTCACAGGACATGCCTTCCAGCCCTTTCACCAGCTTTGTTGTCCTCCTCTGGATGTGTTGAAGTATCTTAACATCCATTTTTTAAATGTTGTTTCCCAACTGATTGGTCTGTTGCCCTGACACTCCCCTAAATTCTTCCAGTGTGGGCTGTTGGTGACTGCTGGTTACCAAGCCAGTCTGTTCAGGTGGTCGCATAATTTTTTTAATTAACTCCTCCACTGCTGCCTTTAAACTACTTGGACTGCCAGCAGTAAAACTGCCCCTCCTGCTGCCCTTACTGAGCTCCCTTCACAGGCCCAGCACCAGTTTCCTTCCACTGGCCACTCCTGATGCTGCGAGGTGCAGGCAAGGAGCAATAACAGCTCCCATCTCTTCCACATTGGACAACGTGGGGCTGACAGTGTGACAGGAACTCCAGCCTCCACGGCGTGCTTGGCTTTGTGGCGTGAATGTCACTTATGAGCCCCAGGAGAGCGACAGCCTGTGCTTTATCACCTGCCCAAACCCTCACTTTCATTTACCTGCATCTGTCCTCGGCAGAAAGACATTTATTACCACCCACCCCCCCCCCAAATAACTGCCATCTCCACTTTTCAGTTTTCTTGACTGTAGGTCCCTGCTTTTCTTACCTAGAAGGGAGCAGAGGGTGCAGCCCTGGTGTCTGACAAAGCAGTGTGGATGATGTGTGATGGGGACCTGCATGAGCATTTCCTTTTGGGTCCCTCTGAATACTGATGTTTGTTCAGGCTACCTTTTTTAAATAAACCTTGGTCTAATTATTCTGTTGGTAATCACACCAGTTTAGGAAAATTTAAAATAAATCAGAGGTCGGTAGAAAGGCTTGAAAAATAAATTGGAGAATTAATTATTTGGTTCTAAAAGGCATGAATAAGTTGAATTAAGTATCAGAAGTTTTTTTGGGGGGGGAAACTTGATTTCCAGACATATCTGTGGTTTGGCTCCTACAGCCAGAGTGGAGGGGTCAGGCGAGTTAGCCAGGGACTGGCAGCAGCCCAGAAGGTAAAACTGTCAAGAGCAGGCGGCTCCTGTACCGGTGGTTGATTTGAGCAGTGTCTCCATATGCAGCTGGGCAGGCTCCTCTGCTCCGTGATCTCCCTGGGAACAGGAGGGGATTTTGTCTGCGAGGAGAGGAGATGGAACTGCTCTGGTCACACTTGCTGTTGTAGAAATAACCCCTTGAGCCAGCCTGCTGTGTAAACTGCCACTCTGTGGTTGCCTGGAGAGAGGCTGGAGGTGCAGCAGCTCCTTTTGGTGGGGAGGGAGAGAAGTCTGAGCTTCAGGCGCTGCAACCTACACCCTTGGGTGGCATCTGTCACCCAAGCCATGCTGAATGGGAGGAGCAGGGGAGCCCTCATAGCCTGAGACCTTCCTCTCCTGGTTTGGTTTCCCCAACTGTTCCCCAAGGAGGTGGCTCTGCAGGGGAGTAGAAATGAGCTTTGCCTTTCAGATAAAGAGCGCTGCGTGGAGCTGAAGAAGGCCTTGTGCACTGCTCACGAGAAGTTCTGCTTCTGGCCGGACAGCCCCTGCCCAGGTTGGTGTCTCAGAGCTCAACTAGTGCACATATCCAGGATTATTCCCTTTTCTTCTCCCTTTCTGTCACTGGTCTTGTCTCCCATTGTAGGAATTGTGGTTTCTCTACAAGTCCTCAAAGCAGGCAGTGTCATCACAGTCCCCTTTTTCCCTGCGGGAACGATGAAACACACAGTGGCAAAGCAACATCTCTAAGCATCCTTAGCAAATAAACAACTGAGCCATGGCTGGAGCCTCAGGCTGGGCTGTACCCAGCCTCTCTTAACCTTTGCGTGCCTCTAGGGCAGTTAAAATGCTCTTCAGGTTGCAACTGGGAGGGGATGGAGGATGCTGGATGACATGGGATGCTCGAAGGGCAATAGATCTCATTTTCAGAGCTGCGCTGCATGGGGAAGGGCGGTTGCAAATGAAAAAGACTGTGCTCAGCTTTTCTTTTAAAAGCCAAGAGACTGTTATGGGGAGACTTTGGCTGGACTCATCTCCTCCTTTGCCCTGCGGGATAAGCAGAGGGTGGGAAGGCCAGTGACACAGCTCAGGCCTCCCGCTTTCACTTTCACCAGATCGCTTTGCCA